CAAAAAAAATTTTTTACTCCTAAAACCCGAATCTGAACTTTAGAAAAAAGAGATTATAAAAATTTCCTCATTACCGAATGGTTAATTAAGTTTTAGGATAAAAATAAACGAAAAAATAAAACAAAAAATTTGAAAATTATTTTTGTTTTTAAAAATATAGTAAATCTTAAAGAAATAACCTGGATCCGGATCCGCATCAAAATGAAATGGATCCTAAGCACGGCTTAAACGAACATCTTGTGTAGATCTACGGATTAATTTTATTCCTCTTCGGTATCCTGTGATTCTCATATACTGCTGAGAGAACTTTAATTAAGGAACTAATTATTGATTTTTAAAATTAAAAGTGCCCACATTGGATTTCGAGACCTAGCATTTGATTAACAATATTCACACTAAATTATGTAAATATGCATGTAAATATATTCAGATGTGATCACAAGGAATCCATTGGGGCCAGTGCTTGTATTAAGAGTCTGGTTAAAAATGGAAACCCTCATCATTTCATCGTTTCATCACAGGATCAGTCACTTAGGTAGTATCATGTGTAGTCCCTTAAGTTAATATTAGGAGCAGTCCCTTAGGTTTTTATTAGGTGCAGTCCCCTTAGATTAGTGATAGAATCAGTCCCATAGGTTAGTGTTAGGAGCAGTTTCTTAGGTTAGTGTTTAGAAGCAGTCCCGTAGGTTTTTAATTTTAGGAGCAGTCCCTTAGGTTAGTGTTAGGAGCAGTCCCTTAGGTTAGTGTTTGGAACAGTTCCTTAGATTAGTGTTAGGAGCAGTTAAGGGAAGGGAAAGGGGGAGAAAAAAGGGAAGTAAATAGGGAAGGATAGAGGGAAGGAAAAAGGGAAGGAAAAAGGGAAGGAAAAGGGAAAAAAAGGAAAATAAAAAGGAAAATAAAAGGGAAAACAAAAGGAAAAGGGGAAAAGAAAAGGGTGAAGTCAAGGGAAAAAAGGGAGGTGGAAAATGAAAGGAAAAGGAAATGAAAAGGAAAGGAAAAGGGGAAGAGAAAAGTTAAGGAAAAGTGGAAGGGTAACAGCGGAAGAAAGTAGAAGGATGGGTTTGGGGAAAGGTAGGGATGGAAAAGAAAGGGGAGTGGATAGGTAGGGATGGGGATAGGAAGGGAAGGGGATAGGTAGGGATGGGGATAGGTAGGGAGGGAGAAGGAAGGGGAGTGGATAGGTAGGGATGGGGATAGGTAGGGAAGGAGATAGGTAGGGATGGGGATAGGTAGGGAGGGAGAAGGAAGGGGAGTGGATAGGTAGGGATGGGGATAGGTAGGGAAGGAGATAGGTAGGGATGGGGATAGGTAGGGAGGGAGAAGGAAGGGGAGTGGATAGGTAGGGATGGGGATAGGTAGGGAAGGAGATAGGTAGGGATGGGGATAGGTAGGGAGGGAGAAGGAAGGGGAGTGGATAGGTAGGGATGGGGATAGGTAGTGATAGAGAAAGAGATAGGTAGGGAAGAGGAAAAGTAGGGAAAGGGGAAGGTTGAGAGGGAAATGGCAAGGTAGGGAGGGAAAGGGGAAGGGGAAGGTTGAGAAGGAAGGAGCAAGTTTGAGAGGGAAAGAGTAAGGTTGGGAGGGAAAGAGGAATGTAGGGAACTACGGAAGGGACAGGGAAGGGAAGTAGAAGGGGAAGGTAAAAGGAAGGTAGAGTAGTTAGGGAAGGGGAACGAAGCGAGGGGGATGATAGAGAATCGATGGAAGGTTGGTAGATAAGAAGTGAAGGAAAGGGGAATATAGGGAAGGGAAGTGCTGGAGCTCTTTACCTCTACATATCCACAGAACTTTATCTAAAATCAGAGAGTTTTTTAAAATAATTTTTTCCCAATATTTATAATGCAGCATATCAAACGTATTAAAATTTTTTCGCACTCTGCGCACAACTTCATAACAAATATGATGACAGAATAGAATACTCAATACTCAATAATTTTCCCAATGGTCAAGCCTACAAAAATATTTCACAAATTCTTCCCCCGAGAAAAATGATTGATAATGAATTCCAAGAAAAAATATACTCCTTAACTGACAAATAATCAATTTTTGCCATTACCACAATATCATTACCCAAAGTTTTTAAACAAATTTCCTTGCGGCGCCAATTATGCTTTTCAAAATGCATCCTTCTAAGGTTTATTATGCACTGCACTATATTATAAATATTTAAAAATTATGTCTTTTTACTTTGCGAATTAGGGGAAGGAAATGAAAAAAAATATTTAGAAGGGGGGGGGGGATAATAAAAAATTGGAATTTGATACACCCCTGTACTATACAGATATAGAACAAGATGCTTTTTAAAAATGAATCAACAAGAATCTCAATATATTTGGAATATTAGAATTTGCCTCGTGATTCATATTTTTAACCTATATACAATATATATATATATATAAAGTTAGTTACCACCTGTGTGCAACAGTTGATAACAAACCAGGGGGTTTGAGAAAATTTTAAATATGAACTAACTTTTTATCCATCCTTCCCCACCACCACTAATAAGATGAATATGTTTAGTACTATTTTAAGAAGATCAGAAACTCTTTTATCTAGATTGACTTATTTAAATTTAGTTAGTTAGATAGATAGATAGATAGCTGGATAGATGTATAGGTACTAGGTAGGTTAGATAGATAGATACCTAGGTGTATGGATGGATCAGTGTAGTCTGAACCAGATATTGTTACGTGGCTGCAGATCAGCTGAGCAACTTAACTCCTTTATTTCAATTATTTGTGAAGGGTAGTCTATCAATGAGGAGGGGGGTTAACGTACGGAGTTCGTGTACATTAAAATACAGGGTGTCCCACGAAACATGACAGTTCGCGAATGGTTTTGAATGTCTTCTTCCGTATATTATATTAGATATTAAAGACTTGTTGCAGTTTATTTCGTTTGAAAAAATCTTTTACTCAAATATACTTTGAAATCAATTTTACCATAAAATGATCCTGCCATGGTATATTTCATTTAATCCCTTTTGTATCAAAGAACTTAACAAATTATGGAAGAAGACGTTTAAAACCATTTACTAACTGTCATGTTTCGTGGGAACATTTTTTGTGCTAACAAAATCGCATATCCATGGTTACCGTGCGGTATGACGGTTCTTAATCTTATACGTATCTAAGATTTTTTTACGATACGGGATAATATTGATTTTTAAATGTAATAATCAATGTACATATTGTGTACACTTTCATATGCTTCTGACTTCGTTATTAAGTATATGTGATGTTTTTAAACTTCAAAATATGTAGGTTGGAATGCAAGCTGGCGTTTACGGGAATAATGGAAATTTTACGGGTTTATTATTTTTAATTTGTTTATTTTGTACTTTTCAGTGTTCAATGTACACAACATTGTACAGTGTACACTTTACACAATAGTGTACACAATTTTTTTTGAATTGAAGGTACAAAATACATTTGACAGTACACATACTAATAACGTTTGCATAAACTGGTTTCCCGGTTCTTGTTTGTTTACAAAACATTACAATGTACCATGCTTCATGCAATAGCAATCAATACCAGTTTAACTTTAGTTGTCAGTGTGTCGAGTGTTTCTAATCTGAAAGGTTGCATATTATTTCTGCAGCTGTAATTGCCTTTGATCATTTTATTATAAACTTGTAACTTTATAAATTTTTTTTTTTTTTATTTCATATTTTCACAGCTTAGTCAGCTACTCTACATAAAATAAGTTTTGCCTTAAATGGGGTTCATTGAAATGTTCTTTAAACTTTTAATTAAAAACATAGTTTCTTTAAAGAATTGGTCATAAACAATATTTAAAAAAACTGAATTACAGTTTACTATTAATTTTAGCTATTTTCTGTTCATTCCTATAATCTCTGACGTATTTAGATTCTTGTACTTCACGAGTTAACTTCTCCCAAGGTCCCAAACCCTCTAGTACGCTAACGTTCAATTTATCTTCTAGGGAAGATTTGCGAAATATTCCCGGAATTCCGCTGCTCTATCTCCATGGAAATGCGCCAACTCTTGAGAAACCTTCTGACCTGACAGAGTCTTTGACGGAGAAAATCTCCGACGGGAAAACCAACCTCAGTCAGCACCAGCACAACATCCTCCAGGAGTTAAAGAAACAGAAATTCGGTGAGGAGGTGAAACCGATCAGGAAGAAAAGAAAAGGACCTCGGGGTCCTAATCCTCTTTCTTGCAAGAAAAGTTCTAAGTCCAAACCATCTGAATCTCTACCCACAAATCAGAATTCGGGCAAGAAAAAGCGACGAAAGAAAAAAAAGACTGCTCAGGAATAACGTTGAAATCCTTCATTTTTTCAGAAACCATGTGTAACGGGTTCACTTGCTCTAAAAACACCCTGGTAGGGTTAAATATTTTCTATATACTGGTCTCATTTCTACTCATAGGAGTCGCTGTGCACGGTAATGAGTCAAATTTTTTAATAATTAGAATTAACTAACAATTGACCATCTAAATAGTATATATAGAGGCAACTGGGGTATATATTTTCTCAAATAAATAAAAGGAATCTCATTTATTCCTACTTAAAGTTTAAAGTCTACCGTTGCGAATCCGGAATTCCACTTTTAATGAAGGACCACTGTAACTGTAACTATTACTACAGTTATGTAAAGAACTTTAGCGTTTTTTAAGTCTAACGTTTGAAAGCCGACCATGATAAGAATTAGATTATAAAAAAATTTACTTTGGGGGAAATCTGAGTAGGTCTTACACCTTTCAAAAGTCGTATCTATCTATCTTTACCTGACCCATGAGGCCGGTCCTTCTATAGATAGTGGACGTGTAGTTCACGTACTTTGGAGGACGATAATTTGGCCGCTAGATGTCACCCGTGAGTTATTCATGGACGGACAGAGTTTCTCACGCCATACGGTATCTGGATCATTAGCCGTGCATTAGCCGTACTGTGGCCATGATTTATTTGAGAAAAGGTGGCAGCACTAATCAAAGTAGCTTTCTAATTTCATTTCATAAATTGATTGCAGTGTCTTGTTTTTCAGATCCATTATGAATTTGAAATTAAATACAATTTCTTATGTTTAAGATAGTTTGCCGCGTTCAAATCAAATTCGTAATAAGCTTTCCCTTTTTTCCGTCGATAGGGGTCGCATATGATATATGTGTTTATGGTCAGACAATACTCGGACACTGATAACTCGTGGTAGAACGCGTTTGAACAAAACACTATTTCTCCGTACATTTCACGACCAATATAGGAGTTGTCGACCAATGTAGTTTATGGAAGGAACGGCCTCTGGAATGATACAATCGTGCTAGATTGCTAATTAATATGAGGCACTCATTTAAATTGACTAGAATCGAGTTAGAGATTTATATTACATTTGCAACGCAAATTAAACCTTATTGTCTTGGCAACTTAGTTTCTTGTTGTTTATCGTTTCCTATTATAATGGAAAGGGGTGGTAACGTCTAATGAATTCCATTTAAGAGCTATAATATGTTATAATATATTCTTATTATACCCCCACTCTTCCTCCTCCCCTTTGTTTATTGATTCATTAATGCAAATTAGGTTAAATGTCAAGCTTTTCTTATAGTCCCGTAATTCCTTGTTTATTCACTAACATGCATTTTCAGTAAATTTGTTTAGCTTATCGTAAAAGACAGAAATATGCTTTATATTTCCGATTCTAAATTTATTATTTTATGTTTTCAGGGAAAGTGTCTGGAATTGTGACCAGTTTACCAATTATTGGTGGAATCACAGCATGTGGGATCTTCCTTCTTATAGTTTCTATAATTGGTCTTATTGGAGCCATGAGACATCATCAGGTTGCTTTTTTTTTCTTCGTGTCTTTAGGTTGCCCTGAAAAATATGAGTGCTAATTTCATGATAAACCTTGTTTATTAATGTTTTGTGCATTGCCTAGGTTACTGTCTGTTTACATTTTTAATTGTTTAGTCGACGTTGTTTGTTTACATTTTTAATTGTCTAGGTCACGTTGTTAACGTTTTAATTGTCTAGGTAACATTGTTTAATATTTTTTTTGTCTAGGTGTTGTGTTTGTTTATTTTTTTTAATTGCTTGGTGCCGTTGTTTGTTTATATTTTTAATTGCGTAGGTGACTTTCTTTGTTTACATTTATAATTGTCTAGGATATGTTATTTGTTCAAATTTTTAATTGTCTAGTTGGTGTTAGTTTGTTTACATTTATAATTTTTAAGTTACTTTGTTTGTTTACATTTATAATTGTCTAGGTGATGTAGTTTGTAAACATTTATAATTGTTTAAGTGATGTTTTGATTTACATTTTTAATTGTCTAGGTGACGTTGTTTGTTTACATGATCGTCCTGTTCTGTATCTTCATAATCCAGTTCTCTGTATCCTGCGCTGCTCTTGGAGTAAACGACAAGGATGAAGAAGTTATTTTGAATATGGTAATTTTATTTTTCTTCGGTTGGTTATAATAATATAATAAATCAAATGAAACGATCGTTTAGATTGCTTTTTAACTGTTATTTTTACGAAATTTTCCCAATTGGACCTGTTAACGATTGTAAATTGCTGTTTTTACGTGAAGCCTTTTAAATACTTAGTCGTTTTCATTGAAATTGTTCTGATGTGCGCTCTAATGCCACCATTTCTAATGAAAAGTTGTCCCGAATTGCTCTGCATCAATAAGGAATAACCAGTTATTAATATATATTTCATAGTATGAAAATGTAAGCAAAAGAAGTTCAATTTTAACAATTACAAATTGAATTATTTTCTTTGAACTCAGGTTTTAAAAAAATCTTACTTAGGGCTGAAAAATTGCTAGTAAACCTAGTCTTTCAGAGCTGGAAAACTGATTCTAAACCCCGACTTTCAGAGCTGGAAAACTGCTACCAAACCTCGTTTTTCAGGACTGGAAAACTGTTACTAAACCTCGTGTTTCAAGGCAAGAAACCTGCTACTAAACCTCGTGTTTCAGAGCTGAAACTGCAATTAAACTTCATGGATTTGGGATGGAAATCTGCTAATAAACCTCATGTTTCAGGGCTGGAAATCTTCTACTAAACCTCGTGTTTCAGAGCTGAGAAACTGCAATTAAACCTCATGGATTTGGGCTGGAAATCTGCTACTAATTCTCGTCTTTCAGGGCTGGAAAACTGCTATTAAATCACGTCTTTAAGGACTAGGAAAATGTTATTAAATCTCGTGTTTCAAGAAAGGAAAACTGCTACTAAACCTCGCGTTTAAAGGCTGGAAACCTGCTACTAAAGCTCTTGTTTCAGAGCTGAAAAATTGCAATTAAATCTCATGGATTTGAGCTGGAAATCTGCTAATAAACCTTACGTTTCAGGGCTGGAAATCTTGTACTATACCTCTTGTTTCAAAGCTGAAAAACTGCAATTAAATCTCATGGATTTGGGCTGGAAATCTGCTAATAACCTCTTGTTTCAGGGCTGGAAATCTGGTACTAAACCTCGTGTTTCAGAGCTGAAAAACTGCTACTAAACCTCTTTATTTGGGCTGGAAATCTGCTGCTAAACTTAATGTTTCAGGGCTGGAAAACTGCTGCTAACGAGACTAAGCTAGATGCTGAGAAACTATTCGACTGCTGCGGACTTACTAACTCTACCAACCCTATGGATGCTTACAAGTAACATTTACTATGTATACGCAAGGTTTACTTATCCTCAAGGTTTACTATGCATAGTGCATACTTGCCGTTTACTATGTTTACTCAAAGCTTACCATGTTTACTCAAGGTTTACTATATTTACTCAAGGTTTACTATATTTACTCAAGGTTTACTGAGCTTCACTTTTTATACTCTAATTACTATGTATACTCTGGTTTACTAGGTATGATTAAGGTTTACTAGGTATACTAAAGTTTTTCCAGATTATTAAAGGTTTTAGGTTTACCAGTTATACAAAAGGTTTTCTAGATTTATTAAAGGTTTACTATGTATACATCAAGTTTCCTAAGTAAATAAAGGTTTCTTATAAATATAGGTTATACTGAAGGTTTTACGTACACCAAAGGTATTATGTTTAAAGTTTTTATGTATACTGTAGTAGTTAACTTTGAACTATGTATACCAAAGTAGTTCACTATCTATACTAAAGGTTACATGTATATACTGAAGTTTTACTATGCATAAAAAAGTTTTATTATGAATACTAAAGGTTATATTTATTCTAAAGGTTTATGTATTTTAAAGGTTTACGGTTATATGTATGCTAAAGGTTTACTAGGTACACTTAAGGTTGACTAGGTTCAAACCAGTGCTTAGGATCCATTAAATTTTTATCCGGATCCTGGATCCTCGATGGAAAAATCCCAACTTTACCTTATTTGTTTACAATCCTTGATAAAATTAGTTTATCAGTCCCAACTTCCCATGTTAAATGTGGTGCAATTCTTATACATACCTTCCATTTATTGATTGAATAATAATAATTCAAATAAAAAATTGTTTTATTATTTTAGGTGTGAAGAATTAACCTGCTTCAAATCCAAAGAAAGTGTTGATGGGGTAAGTTTAAAGTAACAATTGTCTCGTTAAAAAAGTTTTGATCTTAGGTTTCAATTAAAATGTATCTCCTGTTTCTACCTTGATTTTAAAGAAAAGGGTCAGAGTAGGATTAAAAAAAAACATTAGAAGTTTACTTATTGCCTTAAACGTTGAATAACATTTAGAGGGTATAGCATCTGATTTTGTATTTCATTCCGTTTTTTAACATTCATAGTTGTATTGTTTTTACATTGCTTTAAGAATAAGGTTATACCGATAATAGTTCACTTGTTGCCCCTCGATGTCGCATGTTTTCCTTCGTCTTTTTAACATTCATAGTTAAAAGCCCCCTACTATGAAATCGTATCAAATTTCGAAATTTAATCCTGTAAAGGCAGGAGGGTGCCGCTGCGCTCAGCCCCCTAGCCTGTCCTAGCCGCAGCGCTCGGCCTAGAAAGTGTCTTAACCTAACCCTAAATAGATACTAATTTAATTATTTTCTAGATCTACAAAATTCAGTCCCTCTCCCTCTGTTTTGGAATTTTCCGGGGCATTGCACACAACATGAATCTGTCCCTGAAGTAAATACATTCTTAACAGGGAATAAGAATAAAGGGAAGGGAAATGACGCTGGTCTGACATAAGAAAGCAATTGGCACTGCATCGCAGACGAGTTCCATATTACACACGGGACACTTTTGGTGCAGACACACAACATGACTACAGTCAAGGAAATTGCATTACAATGTCGTCAATTATAATCAAGCTTGAATAACGAATAGTTTATTGTTAACTTTAATTAAATTATATTCTTTACATGAAAATTTGGCTTTTAGTGTTGATTAAATATATAAATAATATATTAAACTTAAACAATTAACATTTTAATGTATTCTCTTAGACTGTGCAAATACAGAGATTCTTAAGTACTGTATGTACCTACAGTACACGCTTTTGGTTCGTTATTACTTACACACACTCTTCTGGTACAGTCATACATGACGTTTCCGCCCCCTGATTACTACAGGGTGTTGCGTATTAATGGATTAATTTTAGAGCTCGTATTATATGGATTTCTCAGTTCTCCTGGGAATCCGTGCATAGGATCCAGTTAATTTTGATACGGATCCTGGATCCGCACTGACAAAAATTTATCCTAATCCGGATTTAGGTCATGAACATTTTAATTTAATTTCCCTACTAAATTGGCTAGTGCATTTCTACGGAAGAAAACCATTGAGTAATTATAAGTTCATTTCATACAAGGTTATCTTTCACAGAATGTTTCTAGGGTACCGTTGTTAATCGGGCATGTACCTTTTTATGGAGATGTGAACTCTCACATTCTCGCTAAATAGATATTTCCCCTTTTTCTAGAATTTGCTTATATTGTCTGCTTAGTATCAAGAAAATTTAGTGGAAATAAAAACTTTTCTTTTTTATTTCATTCTCACCATTTCTGTTACTGTAAAGGTGTAAACGTATTTTGAGAAGGCCGTTTTTTTCTCCCAAATTGTAAGCTTAATATTTCAGCTTATTGGGTTGGTATGTACGCACAAGTACAGGCTGCAAATCAGGGACCTTGGGGAATTTGCGTAAAAAGTCTTAGGTTAGAATTCCTTCAGGGTTTCCTGGGTTTTGCATTGGTGATGTTAACGGCCTATCAAGATTCTAGTTTTATTTTGATTTGTTTTGTGCACTTTTGAAATTAATTTGTACAGAGCCTGTGTTGTATTCACTACGTATGTACAATGAACATGTTTTTACAGTGCTTTGCATTGTCTCTGTCCAGTGCAGTGGGACTATGGGTTGTAGGAAATGCCACGGAAGTGTCGTGAATAATCAATGTGTGCATTTCACACATTTTAATTATCAAAGTCATTTTATAATCGTATGTACCACAATTTAATTTTCTATAGAATGGCTAGCTTACTATTCACCTTTAACATTTTGCGTTCATATTCAAATTGTTCAAAGCTGAAGTTAAGAATTGTTTTTAGTTTCTTGGAATATGGTCTGCGAAGAGATTTAGAAATACCAAAGATCCCCGGCCTCGTCCTAATGCTTTCCTATAAGATGGTAGGCCTGTGTGCCTTTTTTATTTTCATTTCCGATTTTTTCAGCTTTGGACAATTGTCTGCACTTTGTTTTATTTCTACACCGGGGCTTGTGTTTGCTTTAGGACAAATTGCATTAAATTTATTATAATCTCTTTTTTTCAGTTGATTGGAGGGATTGTTGCTTGCAGATACAGAAACCTAATGGATCCGTTTGCAAGCGAGTCGAACAAAACTCCGTTCTCCGGCAGCATGTAATTTATATCAATCGGCAAAAAATCTCATTTTAAAAAATTGTGTATTCTTCTAGTATTATACACTAATTCATAATTATTTATATTTAAACAATTTTATATCTTTATACTTCAATCTCGTAAATTTGATATGTGGAGTTTTAAATAGTCATTCTTTTACACGCCATTTTGGATATAAAACAAGTTTCTGGCTAACAGAGCTCAATGTTAAATCTTAATTACGCCTTGAGTGATAGTTTTTGTGTGATTTAAAAGTTAATGGTAATAGTTTTTATATGAATAACTTCATTTTATATCGTTGTGATACTGTTAAAACTGAAATATACTATTTAGATAAATTTGAAGTTTTTTTCTCACAATTTTATCCAAAGCTAAAATACTTAATTCCAACATTATCTGAATCAATTAAGGTTGGTGCGTTTGTGGAAAGCGAATTTTATTTTAGAGTATTTGTAAATTCCGAGTTATATTTATCTTTTCAAATTAAAAATTCTCCTGGCTAGCTACATTAGAGCTATCGTATGAATCATTTAGTTAATAATTTCAAGGGTTGTATCGGGTTTATTTTTACTAGAACCTCTGTTTTCTAATTTGTACATACGCATTCTTTTACTACGAAAAACGTCATTAATAATCTGAACCAGTGCCTTTGATACTTGGAAACTGATCCAAGGGACAAAATATCGACCTATAAAACATTTAAATTTCAATGTTGATGTTGAAAAAAACTTTCCTGATCTTTGAATGGTTAACTGTGTAGCAGGAATTATTACATTTTGTCTAGTACAACCAAGAATGTAATGCAAGGAAAGTTTATTGCAGTTGCGTATACACTGCGTACATATTGAAACCAGTTCTTTCTGGGTGGAATTTGTAAACAAGAATAGATGCATCAGTGTTCGTTTAGTATCAGAGAAGGTTGAAAGCATTGAATTTAGATAATAGTTTCCTATGACCAGAATATTTCATTGATTTTTTATGTGAAAGATGGATCCAATGTCAGGCTTTGACGTCCGTCTTGTGTTTACATTACCGCCTATTGACAGCACACTGCAGTACAAAAGATGCGTACACCTCTGAAATAACTTTCCTTGCATTAAATCCTTGAGTACAACACCGCGAGCTTATCTTCATTTAATTCAAATCCTCACTGACAAATTTCGGCGAGCGAGGGAATCCCCGGACGCCATGAGCCTCCGCTATGCAGACACGAGCCTCCCAGAGTTGCTAGGCAGACCGAGCCTCTGCTATGCAGTAATGAGTATGCACAATAAATCAAAATGTGCTTGTGTAATTCAGGAGGTTTTTTAAACTTGTGTTTTAAGTTTAAATAAAAGATTTTTTTGAAATTTTTAGACATGGTGGCATGAGGAGCGGGGGGAGGCAGGCGGCCATGAGCCACCACTATTTCCCCTTCCGGGCCACATATTAGCTTTTTTCTTTTCCGGCAGCCATGAGCCACCACTATTTCCCCTTCCGGGCCACCACATTTGACTCTTCCGGGCAAAATTACTTTTNTGAGTCAAAAATTGAATAATCATTAGACTTTGTGATATTTCAAGATGCAATACTCAATCAAATTTGTCAAAAATTTCATTGTAAAACAGTTTAAGAATTCAACACACAAAATATCAATCTTAAGTAGAATTGAAAAAATGGTTTGATTTGTGATTTTTTGCGTGACGCGGCTGGATTTTTTAAAAATCACACTTTAAAGGCCCTAAATATACCATTTAAAAACGTAGTTTTGCCCAGAAGAGTCAAATGTGGTGGCCCGGAAGGGGAAATAGTGGTGGCTAATGGCTGCCGGAAGAGAAAAAAGCTATTATGTGGCCCGGAAGGGGAAATAGTGGTGGCTCATGGCCGCCTGCCTTCCCCCGCTCGCATGAGAGGCTTCTCAAAGATGAGAAGTATTTATTAATTATCATAAATAGTGCCTAATTATGACTAATAAAGTGGTATCTAAAACTTAAAAAAAATTTTACACGAAAAGGAAAATATTTAGAAAAAAATTTGAATTGAATTTCATTTCATCTTTTGTAATCTTTGATTTTAGCTATACCTTTTTGAAGTGCAAATTAAATCTAAAAAATTTGTATTTATTATTTAAATCTTAACATTTTTTCAAAAAAAGGTATTGATAATTTCCATTCATATCAGTTTTATTTTTTCTTGTTTCGTTTAAATTTTTGCCATGATGAAACTTGATGGATCAGTCAGAGGTTAGGAATTATTTTTTTGTATAATCGCTTTTTTATCAGCAGTTGAGATTTTTTTTTGTGAGAATTACTTTTTTCACCGCTGTCTTTCCCAATGTTATGCTAAAAATTAATAGAGCTGGTAACTTTAGAATAGGATACTTGTAATCCCGACTGCTTAATCCGAACAGCCCCTCCCGTTTCTGTATATTAATCTTAAATGGCGCGCAAAATTTCAAATCTCCCGTCTACTGAAACGCGACTGTGATAGGTTGAATTTCTTACACTTTTCAAGATACAAGGATTGGGGTTATAGTCTCGAGATTTAGAAAAAGAGAGGATCAGTCATTGATTTCGATATCCACCATTCTAAGTTCCCAGCTCTGTACGAAAAATCAGAATGAGGTCACTTAGTCGTATATGATATTTCACGGATTGGACATTTCATCCTCATAAATGAGACAATTCATAGACAGAGAAAATTTGGCATAAATTAGATAAGATTAAATTTTTTATATTAGGTTAATTTTGTATTTAAAAATTATATTTTGTTATTTCTACCATCATTCTGAATTATTACTTCAAATAATATTCATATATTTTGCTTTTAACTGATAATAGTTGTTAGTTGAGACGCATAAATTGTAAAACGATATTCTAATGCATTTTAACAAAAATATATAGCTGTACCACAAACTCCTTTGTAAGAAACTATAAATTCTATGAACTGTCCCAACAATTGTGTTTTCAACTATGCAATGGCATTCTATCAAGAACACTGTCACCATAGGATTAGGAACCATAGTGTACTAACCAAACTGTCACCATAGGATTAGANAGAGTCCAAAGTCCAGAGTCCCGAGTCCAGTGTCCAGAGTCCAGATGACAGTAGTACAAAGAGTCTACACCAAGTCCCGAGTCCAGAGGCGTGAGTCCAGTGTCGAGTGTCTAGAGGCGAGAGTCCAGAGTCCGATATCCAGAGATGAGATTTGTATCCATCCTCAATTAAACCAAGAGATAGTGCAGTAAAAGTACGTTTCTTATTAACTTATTTATACATTTATCTTTCAATCTTAGTAACTATATTCTCTGTAACATAAACTAATTTTAGATATTTTTAGATTGAAACCATTGAAATACATATTTAATATTGTCTTTCATGCTTGCAATTTGCTGTCTTATATTCTCTTTAAATAGGCTGTAAATCGCCTTAAATAGATTTTACATGGAGTACCGTCTGTAAAGCACGTATAATCATATGGTAGGGCGTCAGTTATATATCCCTTTTATTCCTTACTCCCTGGCGGGAGCAGGGCCGCAATGAGCCCCACAAAGCCTATTCGCAAATGAGTATTCAAATGACAGGGGGCTACCCTAAACGTTAGAATATATATTATATAAGACATAAATAATATTTTTTAAATAAACTATTTAATCTTTAAATAGGTGTGCAGTGTTTTCTTGAATATCCAAAAAACATTGTATAACTATCAAAATATCAAATATTTTTTATAAATTTTTTATACATTACTTCTATAATAAAGATTTTAAATGATAGGGGTAGCGCCAGGTCATTTTAAAAACTCTTCTGCGAATCCAGAGGCTTGGAGACCATTTTTTGGGGCTCATGGCGTCACTGCACCACCTCCTTAGTAGAATAAGGATTCTATGCGATAACAATAAATATTATAAATCAAAAAATGATAAATATTAAAATAAATCAACACCATGTTATTTCAAGATATTTAGAGAAGTTGGAAATAATTCTTGTAATCCATTTTCATCAGTAACTCCAACTCTCTCCACACAAAGTGTTTTCTCTGTTCCGAATCCGTTTCCTAAAACAAAAATTCATACATTTGTAAAAAGTAATAAATAATTAAAAAAAACAAAATGTAATCTAATAATGTTTAATACTATAATCATACAAACATATTTCAAATACCTTTAATATTTTATTTTAAATAAATTTAATATTTTTAAACATGTTTTAAATTGATGTTTTTACCAATTTTCCCATGATAAATCTGAACAAGAAGACTTTCCAGAATCCTTAATCCTAGATCAGACATTTTATATAATGTTAGCTGGAGAACCCAGCTTTGACTGGAAACTAAATTTTCGCTGTTAAAGTCATCTTAATTAAGATAAACACATTTCCATGGTTCTACCGAGTTACCCTATCAAAATTTGAGGCAAATCGGTCCAGTTGTGATCGGACATTTAAACAAACAAAAATTACCACTTTAGATAAGTATACAAAATTACTAGGACAGTCCCTTTCAGATGTCATTTGTGAAGTAAAAATTCATAACAAAAGCAAGTGAGATAAAAAAGTGAGAAAAAAAAATAGAAAAAAATATCCTTATTTTGTTTTAATTAAAATGTCTGTTCCTTGTTCTCTGTCTGGAGAAAATATGATGGCGAGAAGATCAGTTGTATCTTCATTTATACAAGATACAGAACTAGTCAACAGAGGGGATACAGCAAGCACCTAGATACAGGATAGAATAAGGATTCAAGCACAGATTTTAAGATAAAAGGAAAGTATATAAAGACTTCATAATGATACAAGATTACAGAGATACAGGGGATACAGGAATATAAGGATTCAAGGATACAGGCATAGATTAATAAGAATTCAGATAGAACACTAGATGTCGTCTTTGGGCTTCTGTCTGAGGGTTATTGTGAACGAAAACCCCCTAAATCTTTATTGTTATGAATCTATGGATACAGGGATACGAGGGTACGAGGATCCAGACACAAATAAACAAGAATACAACCTGTCCATCCTGTTGAAGCACCGTAGCTGAACTCAGGGTTGAAAGGAAGGACTTGAAGGTTTTATCTGCAGCCTGAGATACCGTGGAGATAAGATCTGAACCTAAAACCTCTTCCGAACCCATCTTAATCCTATCAAACATCAGTACTTCAATGAATGAATCGAATAAATAAAAAGTCCTAATTTTCTCTGAATTTAGTTTCAACATTCGTTCCAATTTCTTTTTAATTTAGTTTCAACATTCGTTCCAATTTCTTTTTATCTACTATTTTTGGCGTAGATACATTTTTCCGGAGAAAAAAGTGTTCAATGCAATTCATTTTTTTCATTAAATACATGTTCCAGTCTACTCTTCAGCGGTTCCAATAAAATCGTAGAATAAATTGAATTGTCAGCAACTGGTGAAACCATTTGCATATTATATTTAAGTATTACCTGAAAGGGACTGTTAAGGTAAAATAAAAGGGGGTATAGGCTGAAGTTGATCGCGACCAATATTAGTTCTATCTGATGTCCAGATCTCGAGGAATTGGTAAAGAAAAACTGTGTGAGAGTTATACAAAAACTCATATATAAGTGACATGGTATTGAAATCAAAGTAATAAATCGATCATGTTAAATTATAATATTCAAACTTTGATTCAAATACAGTTAAACCCTAAATGAGTCAGACATCGAAAAAATTTATCAAATGTTGTCTTGACAATTTTTCAATGAGTTTTATACTATTTTACATAAATCTCAGTATTTGCGAAAATAATTCTATAGTCATGAATATGCGGCACCAGTTTTTACAATCATTTAATTAAAAAACTAAATATCTGCAAAATTATCAGAGAGTGAAGAATACGACATTTAATGAATTCTTTCGATGTATGGCTTACTTAGGGTTTAACTGTATCAAGATTACATTTATATATAAATCGTATAACACACAGTTTTTTTTATCAATTTCTTACGACAGGGAGATCAGATGAAACTAATATTGGTGGCGATCAATACCTTATTCATTATCTTTTACTTTATTTTACATTTCTTTCCAAAATAATAATTTAATAAATGTTCATTGTTCATGAGATTCATATGTTCATGGAATTCCTGATATTTTCTAAAAGTAGATTACAGACTTTAACTTCATTACTTTCAATCCTCTTTAGATCATGCAGACTGATAAACCCTACACAAGAAAGGATCTTACTAGGACTTATGACTCAAAAATTGGAATAAAATGGAGACTGATGAACCCTTTGCACAAAAGATATCTGAAATGGAGACTAATGAACCCAAGACATAAGAGATATAAATGGAGACTGATGAGCTCAAGACAAAAGAGATGTAAAATAGAGACTGATGAACTCAAGACAAAAGAGATGTAAAATGGAGACTAATAAACCCAAGACTAAAGAGATCTAAAATGGAGACTGATGAACCCAAGACTAAAGAATTCTAAGATGGAGACAAATAAACCCAAGACTAAAGAGATATAAAATGGAGATTAATGAACCCATGATAAAATACATCTAAAATGGAGGCTAATAAACCCAAGACTAGAGATATAAAATAAAGACTAATAAACCCAAGACTAAAGAGTTATAAAAAAATACTAATAAACCCAAGACTAAAGAGATATAAAATAAAGACTAATAAACCCAAGACTAAAGAGATATAAAAGGGAGTCTAATAAACCCAAGACTAAAGAGATATAAATAAAGACTAATAAACCCAAGACTAAAGAGAAAATAAATAAAGACTAATAAACCCAAGACTAAAGAGATATAAAATGGAGACTAATAAACCCAAGACAAAAGAGATATAAAATGGAGTCTAATAAACCCAAGACTAAATAGTTCTAAAATGGAGACTAATTAACCGAATTCAAAAATTGGATTAATTTGGAGACCGATGAATTCTACTCAACAGGATGATTTGAAAGAGAGTAAACAAATCATCACATGATACTTTCAACAATTGGGATTACTTTTTAATATGTATAGACCGTTTCCTTGAGTTCTCTGTTTACAGGCCTTCTGGTGAAGTTTAGATACAATACTCTCCATCTTTTTCAGATTCTTCCCAACCAAATCCAGATTCCTAAATTATTTTTAGCATTTTTTCAACAACAATAAAAATCAATATTTCGCAGATTTTTCTGTTTCCTTTGATTGAAATCTCAAAAATAAAAATATCATTAACCAATTAAAATATCTAAAAACCGTTGACAAAGTGCTACCTGACAATGCAAGCTAAAACAATGTGAGGATTAGCGGGAGCAGTTGAGGGAAGTATTTGAACAGAAGGAGAGAGAGAGTTGGGTTCTAAAAGCTGAATGGGGGATTCCTCCTCACGATCCCTGTCTCCACAGCGAGAAGGAGCTGTATCCCGATTGTATGATTCCTCTGTATTAGTATCCCGGAGAAACGCCTTCCAACTTTGTGGAAACTTTCCTCTACTAGTATACTCTTCCATCCTACACCTTACAACCTAGAATAGTAACAACATCTCACCCTTCTACTAGTATACTCTTCCATCCTACATGTTACAACCTAGAATAGTAACAATATATCACCCTTCTACTAGTATACTCTTCCATCCTACACCTTACACCTAGAATAGTAACAATATATCCCCCTTCTACTAGTATACTCTTCCATCCGACACCTTACACCTGAAATAGTAACAACATCTACACCCTTCTACTAGTATACTCTTCCATCCTACACCTTACACCTAGAATAGTAACAATATCTCACCCTTCTTCTAGTTTACTCTTCTATCCTACACCTTACAACCTAGAATAGTAACAAAATCTACACCCTTCTACTAGTATACTCTTCCATTCTACACCTTACAACCTAGAATAGTAACAAAATCTACACACTTCTACCAGTATACTCTTCCATCCTACACCTTACAACCAATAATAGTAACAATATCTCACCCTTCTACTAGTATACTCTCCTATCCTACACCTTACAACCAATAATAGTAACAATATCTCACCTTTCTACTAGTATACTCTTCTATCCTACACTTTACAACCTAGAATAGTAACAATATCTCACCTTTCTACTAGTATACTCTTCTATCCTACACCTTACAACCTAGAATAGTAACAATATCTCACACTTCTACTAGTATACTCTTCTATCCTACACCTTACACCTGGAATAGCAAAAATAGAAAAGTCCCACCTACCTGGTCGAACACCCAGAGTAGATATTTTTCCCCAAGTAGTTTCCAATGTTTGGTTTCAGGATCTGATATTCCCAACCACTTCTGAATTTCATCTGAAAAAAAGTTATTAATAAATCATTCAATTAATCAAATCAGAAGTGTTGGGGATACAGATTCATTTTGAACATCGGAATTGCAATGTTAGAATCAATGGTGTATCATTTGACACAATTTTTTCCTGTAAAAATGTAAATGAATATTATTATTAATTAGACTTGCCCTTTTCTATGTACAAGAGCGCACAGTTAAAGAATTTGAGTGTAAGTGAAGGAAAGTTTTGTAAAACTACTCACCAAGTCGTCTAGCAATTTTTCTAATATGTTCGAAGCAAGCATCCCCTTTAAATCCTGGAAAAAACATAGGATTGGATAGAGTTTGACATGAAAAAATTTAAAAAAGAAGAGCTGCTTTTTTTTAGGAGTTGTGATTTTTCCATGGAAAACTCCGAGCTAATAATCCCTTTTTATTCATATTTCTTGGATTTTTTCGAGTTCCTAAAGCACATTATTATTGTATTCTATTCTGAGCAATAATATTAACCTTGTGCATCTCTACTCATTAACTTTTTCTCCCAGGGTACAGTGTACTTTTGTTGGCCCAAGGGAGAGTAAGTGATTAATTGTGTGTGTTCGTGATAAAAATTCGCATGAATGTAGCTTTTATTTGGACAAAGTTATAACACAAATATAAAACTTTCTTAGTATTTAGACATATTGATATTATCAACAACAATATTGAATATACTTATTAATCAATAATGAAAAGTAATCAGTTAATATAATGTTGGATAGAACTACATATTTACTTAAAGCGAGAATTTCCTTCGGGAGAACTGCACTTCAGCGGAAATTGACTTTTCCTCGTGTTTTCTCAATTTTTCGAAATCCCTTGGAAAAGCAGATTCCTGGTAAAGTTGTCAGTTCTCCGTGGTGATTCTTCGCTAATAGTAAATAAATAGTTATAATCGGTACATATAAAGCTGCTTTCTTGACACAGTTATTAAGTTTAATAGATAAATTGATTTAAGACATCCCTTGGGGTATTCTGGCATTTTAGTAAGGAAAGATTTACCTCCTGGATTCTTTTTGTACGCTGACATTGCATTTGACACTTTCTCCCTTTATCCAATTATATTTTTATTCTATTAGAAAATTTACATTAAACTTTTTCTTTATTTAAAATGTTCAAAAATGCCTTTTAAATGCCCCCCCCCCCATTTCTGTAAAGTTCGTTAATTAGATTGACCCCCGTCCCCCACCGCCACTTTTTACTCATACGTACCAAGTGTACAGTTTGGTTTGAATCTTCAAGACAGAAACAAATTTAATTTTTCTATTAATCATCATCCGAGTTAGTTTCTCTTTTTTTCATTTGACAACCAATCTTATTGTAATTTTGTTTATCTTGCGATAATTAAAAAAATTTTAATATTGATTTTGATAGTTATTTTATCGTTAGAACTGAGAAGGGTCAACCCAAACCGAAATATATTTTTTTTAAATGTGGAACTAACGCCTATATTTTATCATCAACACCAAATTTTAAATCTACATTAACAATTCGAGTTTTTTGCTACAAAACAAAACAAAAATAAAAATGAAGACTTGAAGAAAATATTGGTCAAATGATTGAAAAATATCCCTTATTGCTCTTAGTACAATATACCAAGTAGTTTTCTTCTTCAATAATCCAACAACATTGTCATCTACAAATTAATCAAAAACATTTATATATGTATAATCTACAGGGTGAGTAAAAAAACGAGATTAGCGGTGTTTTGGACAAAATGTTCAACATTTTTGTTTGCTTTGGATTTTAGGTATAATAACATCAAAATATGACAAAAAAATTTAACTTATTTTTCAACATTGAAAAAAATGCAAACTTTTTTTTAATAGAATTTTTTGAAAAAAATTGATGGGAAATTGTTTATTCCTTTGTTTTCCAAAATAAAAAAATCATAAACAATTAGAAGAAATGAAAAAAAATTCCTCAACAATTTAATAAAAAATATTTATATATATATATTTGAATTGTCTGGGTGCTTGTCTGTTGGTTTGTGTATAATAAATGTTAAACAGCTAAGCCGATTGGGGCCAACACTTTTTAGTAATGAAGGAATTTTTTGTAACAAAAGAAATTTTTTTTTTCAATTTGCAAGATAGCAAATAAAAACTGAAAAACTGGCGAAAGTATATTATTGTTTAGATTTTTAAATGTACAAAAGGGTACAGAAAGATCAGCAACAAACATCTTAAATTTTCATCAGAAAAATTTGGTTTTCATTTAAAGATTTTCGTTGTCAGTCTTCAGGGGAAATAACTTCAAAAAATTCACCATGTTTCGCATTTAATTTGTTGATACCCAAAGTATTTTATTAGTCTCTAGCTATTGTCTAATATAAATTTCTTGTTGTTTATTTATTTTTGAAATATGGAGGTCAAAATCATTATTGATTTTTGCCAACTTAAAAAAAAATTATTTAAAAATACGAAGAAAATTTGCAGAAAAAGTACATGGGATGATTTGATAATAATAATCCAGTATTTAATTTTAATACCTTTATCCATGAAGTAGAGAACTGAGCCCTCGTAGCCTCGCCCTCCTCGAATCTCCGCCATTTTGTTTTCAAACTGTGAGAACGGTATAATCTCATAATCCGTAGACTCAAATCCAAAATGGCGACCAAGGTCTAGAAACATTAATATATTTTGAATAAAAATCAATGATCTAGGGGTAAATGAAAAATTAGACATCAATTGGAAAGTTTACCACACTTTTTCCTACTTTATATCAAATAATTCTTTTATTTCCCCATGAAAATCATTTAATTCCAACCCCAATTCAGAAATATAGATTTAAGAAAACAGAAACAAAAAGTATCTGCATACCAGGAATAAAGTAGAATAAAGTTTTGATACAAAGTTTTTTTATTACAAATGTATGCTCTGTTTTATTTTTAAAATTTTGGTATTTAGATCAGTCTTGATAGCTTGAGGTTACGGTAAGGGGAGGTGGGAAGTATCTACTCACAGACAGAATTGAATAATATGGTGGAACTTGGTGCGCAAAATAACGAACCTGGTATTTAATTGTTTTTATTGAAAAAAAAATCTTTAAAATCACAAAAAGAAAAAAGCTGTTTTTATATTACCTAGTGACGTGTGTGGAGGTATGGATGTGAGAGAGCAAGTCTGTTCTGTATTTTTATATCCCGGAGCCCAACACAGGAACTTCAAGCTTGGCCCACACATTTCTAACTTATTTTTCTATACATGTGAACATTCTAGTATTTTTCTATACATGTTAACATCCTAGAATTATTCTAATCATGTAAACATTCTAGAATTATTTTATACATATGAACATTCTAGAATTTTTCTATACATGTGAACATTCTAGAATTCTTCTAATCATGTGAACATTCTAGACTCATTCTAATCACGTGAACATTCTAGAATTATTCTATACATGTGAACATACAGTATTCTTCTATACATGTTAACATTCTAGAATTATTCTATACATGTGAACATTTTAGAATTATTATAATCATGTGAACATTCTAAAAGTCAACTAAGATTTCTTTAACAGTTTCATCAATTAAGTACTTGTCTCCTATCCTGTTCCTAGGTCATCGAATTAGCCTACATGCAAATTAGCAACAGCGATAGCCATTTTTGACTGAGATATTGAAAAATGTCATAGACGCATCGACGCCTTTAGAGAATGATTATATGACTACAATGAAGACACTTTTTTAAGTTTTAATTGTTAACAAATTTTTTTCTAACTTCAAGTTTACAAGTAATCAAATAGAAGCTTTATTATTTGACAGCTTCTCTTGACTTCTATGTTTATGTGTATCCATGCGTTTAACAGCTTGATGTAAATAAAAATTTAAATTGAAAGTTGTCTTCATTGTATTGATATAATCGCCTACAACTGTAAATTGTGATTTTTAATAATAAATATAAAAATTGCTAACCTTAGATCCACCAATATGATAAAACCTTCCATCAATATATCTGATAAAAATTATACTCTTCTATATATATTTTCCTGTCTGTTTGGCTGTTTAATAATAACCAATAAACGTCAAGATTGCTGAACCGATCGGGCACAAATTTTGTGTGGGGCCTCACATGACCCCAGAGAACACATAATAAACACACAACTCAATAAAAACACAACACTTTTTTATTGTTTGTATGTACTAAAAGAAAATGCGCACAGAGAAAGCAACAAAAGTTAAAATTGAAGATTGTCCTGAAAGCCTAGTTATTTAGATTTTAAAATTGACGTATTTTCGCGAACACTTCATTCTTATGATGGATAATGGGAATTCTTAATGAAACATTTTTGATGAAGGGTCACTTCCCCCCTCCCCCCTCTATTCTACAATATATATTTTCCTTATGCATCACCACTATCCTCTCTACACACTAAACAATATAGGATTCTGCAATATATATTTTCCTTATACATCACCACTATCCTCTCTACACACTAAACAATATAGGATTCTGCAATATATATTTTCCTTATGCATCACCACTTTCCTCTCTACACACTAAAAAATATAGGATTCTGCAATATATATTTTCCTTATGCATCACCACTATCCTCTCTACACACTAAACAATATAGGATTCTACAATATATATTTTCCTTATGCATCACAACTATCCTCTCTACACACTAAACAATATAGAATTCTGCAATATATATTTTAAATTATCATTTAACTTTATATTTCATATTTTGTGCAAAAGAATAATTTATTTTTTTCCAATTCAGCGATAAAATTTCCAAATATTTTTTCCCGCTCCCGCAAACATTCCCACCAGTTACATCTAGATCTTTAAAAATTGTAATCTCTGTTTGTCTATTTGTTTCCCTGATCATAACTCAGGAACCTTTGGACCGATTTGCCTACAATTTTAATTTGGGAACTCGGAAGAGCGCATGAATGTTTTTAGCTTGGTTTAAAGATTCTAAATTGAGTGAGTCGACTATTCTAGCGAAAATTTAGTTTCCCGGTAAAAATGGACCAAGTGTGGGTAAACTATTAGAACCCTGGGCAACGCTTGGTTCCCAAGCTATAATTATATATAATTGTTAAAGATGGAGAGGGATGATTTTTAAACGAATCGAAACAAATACCCTTGATATTAATACAAAGGGATTGTCAAAATTTACCTCAACAGGTTTCAAGAAATATTTCTTCCAAACTAAATCATTTTCAGGTTGCTCTTCATCCTCATCCCCCATACCTCCGGTAAACTTCCTGGACAAAATCATAATGAAATATCATTGTTTAAAGGGACTGTTCACGTAATTTCCAGTGAACCAGAGATGCCACTCTTGAAATGGAGTATCACTTGAAATTTAGTTTTCAGTCCCTTTAAGTCTTCTACAAAAGAGATTTTGGTTGTCTCAGTGCTTAGGATCCATTTCATCTTGATAACGATCCGGATATGGATCCACCATAAAAAAAATGGATCCGGATCCGGATCCTAAGCACTAAACTTAATTTTGAATTGTTCAGTCAGCAAAAAGTCCTCGGTGACATGTTAAAAACGGAAAATAAAAATTTGAAAATAAGGTCGGGGATGTTTTCCAAGGAATTAAACTTTCATTAGAAACTGAACTATCGAAAATATTAGAAACTGAACTATCAGAATCTGAACTATCAAAAATAACCTGAGAGCAAAAATGACTAAATCCTCGATAGTTTCCTTGGTAGAGGAGTTAAACAGACTTAGCACGGTGTTTCCTCGTGCAACCTAGACACAACAGTGTGGTTATTTTTATAGAAAAATCCCCCTCCTTCCACACTTCCTGATGTTACATCCCCTCTCCCCTTCCACATCCCCCCTTTCACAATAATAAAAAACGAAAACTAGAATTCAAGTGTAAAAAATCTTTATCAACCGTCAAAGTCAGTCAATATATTAATAACAGTTTTTTTCATATATAGAATAAAGTTGAGGTTTATGAATTGCAAGAAGTAGTTAAACTGACAGCTCTAGTTCGAATACTCTTGTGCCGATTGTGTGAGATCAAATTAAGCTACCTCGCTCTAACAAAAATGAATAGTTAGGGAATTAGTTGAACTAGCTGTAGCTAATTCAACTGCAAATGTTAGAGCATTGAATATTTTGAAGTTTGATCCTTGAAAGAAAAATCAATGAATGAATTAAAACCTTGTCCCGGATTTGTTGATTGTTATGGTAGATTTTATCATCTGGGCCTCGGCCATCAACCTATAAAAATCTAAATAAAAGTTTTTACTTTTCCCCTTCCTAAATATTTTTCATGCATAATGAAGCAGATTTTGAGAAATGTTATATAAGTTTTAAAGAGCCTATAGGGTAGTAATTTTAATACTTATCAGAATTATTTTTTTTCTTCATTCAAATAAAATTTTAAAAAGTTGTTTACTTTGATGTCTGTTAGACTGGCTGAAGTACTTGAAGGAAGTATCCCGGCCGGTATATCATAGTTTATCAATTTCAGCTGATTCGTCTGCTTTCTGCACCAGGACAGCCAATCAGAAACCTCTTCTAAATATTATGTACAATGTACAATTTACATGTGAACAACAAAAGATCAGATACATCTCCTCAGGATGGGTAAAACAATTATTTCCATGAAAATGTATACCCCAATGGTTTCATGAATTTGCGGCACATTATCAAGAAGTAAAACTAGCTCGGGTCCGTCCAAGAGAACGATTTTTGGACCCCCCCTTCTATGAATTTTGTACATGACCACTTTTTCAACAATTTTCAATTAAATTAGTATTTATTTAGGGTTATGTTAGGTTTAGACACTTTCTGGGCCGAGCGCTGCGGCTAGGACAGGCTAGGGGGGGGGGCGAGCCACATGGTAAATAATATCCATGTCTTACATTTAAGATCCATATACAAAATTGAAAGGAGGGGGGGAGGAAGGGCCAAAAAATCGTTCTCTAGAAAATTACCACTAGCTCAAATGCAAAATTAGAAATTAGCCTATCCTAGCCGTAGTGCTTGGCCTCTTAGCCAATCCTAGTCGCAGCGCCAGCCTGGAAATTGTTGTAAATTTAACCTGACCTAACCATAAAGTAATATGTAATAAATATCAATAATTCCTTTCATGCTTATTTTTTATGAAGGGGGGGGGGTTCAAAATCGTTCTCTAGGAATAAGACATGCTCTGACTAATTTGTTTTGCTTGTAATTAACCTTGAGTTAGAGTCTCCTGCATTACTTTTGTCAGCAAAGACTGAGTGACAATATGCTTTATATCAGATTCAAGTTCATCAATAGGAACTAGATTATCCATCTTAAATCTGAAAGTCATGTTTAATGAGTAAAATATGACACTAAAAGTTAATCACATTCACGAGTTCAGTATAAACTAGAACGTTTTAAAACTGAATAACCCGGAATCGGCTTGTTATCACTCTATAAATAAAGACCAGAGGCGGATACAGATACACGATATGTTTAATAAGTGAAAAGTAAAAAAAAAACATTTAACTAAAAGAATTTTAACTAATTTCATCGCATGATGCAATTTTATGATGCAATATATTTTTGATAATATAATATTTCATTCTCACAAATATCTTATTCATTATTTAATCAATAAGTAAACGTTCTACGTAAAAACTGAATGTAGCCCCATGACTACTATGCTTGACTATAAGTTGTTTGTATAAAGTTTCTTATAGTTATTAATATTATTTATAATATCAAGCCCGTGTAACAGCCAGCAATTATGCTTACGATGTGAGTGTTTACAATGTGTTCGTTGCTATAACTATTCTGTTACTGTACAAAACAGGGAAAATAGCTATCATTAAAAAAATACTTTTTTTAAAGTTATTTTAATCTTATATTATTTAATGATTTTGAGAAAAAATAAACTTATTATTTCAGGGACTTTTTTCCACAGGCAAATTTTAACATGTACATAGGACAGCATGTATGTTTGTTTATAATATTACTCCTAGAAACAACAGTACACTTTATTTTATGGGACTCCCTTGTATCAATTGTATAGAAATTTTTAATAAAAAGAAATAATTCTTTTTGAGTTATTTAGATTTAAGAAATCTTTGTATATTGTCAGAATTTTTGTTAATGTGTTTCCCAATAATCATTTATTTTTATACTGTAGAATAGGAAGACGACATTTAAGCAACAATTAAGTTTACAAAGTAAATAGTTTTACTTGTAACTCATCCAATAACATTTAAACTAAAATTGGTCTGTTTACACAGCACAACTGCCATGTCTCATGTTCAATTGACTATTAAAAGTCATAACTCGAGTCTACAAGTCGTCTTCCTATTCTAGAAATTCTGTAGATATTATGCCTTGGTCTGTAGAAAGTGAAATAGCAAGAAACATTATGCAATGGCAAAAATATATTTAGAGAAGAAAAAATATAAACTAAAGAAGAAAGATACAAATACGTGCGCCTAATATATTTGCTGTCCAAATCGTCCCAAAGCGTTTTTCTTGTTTATTAATCCCATAATTCCGTTTGGCCGCCTGCATTTTAGTTTCCGATAAAAACTTCTTTAATTTCATTGGTTAATGTAGTGCATAGTCATTTTTAATTTTAAAATTCGCTAAACGTTTGCATATTTGTAACTAAGTAATTGATTTTTTTAATATCAAAGGTATACACCCTCAGGTTGCAAAGATAAAATGATTAGAAAATTTAAGTTTGTGACAAATTCTTAATTCCTTTATAACTACGTTACAACTTTCTGAGCGCCATTTACCGATTATATAAAAGAACGTTATAGAAAAATTTGAACATATTTTTGATTTTAAACTCAAGTTCTAAAATTTAGAATTTTAGAATGACCATATTTTTAGATTTGCAATTACTTTAATAAAGATTAAGTTTTAAACCAGGCTTAACACATTCCCATTGTTTCATGTTTCTCAATCAAATTTGAGGCAAATCGGTCCATCTACGATATATACAATATGCATATATTTCAAAAATTTTGTATGTAATAAATATCGTAGAAAACCCTATATTTATAAACCTGAACACACCTAGAGATTAGGGCTAGGCACATGGTCCGAATTTTTTGAAATCGTTCTGTTCCATTCTAGAACGAGGGCCTTCAGCTAAATCGTTCCGTTCTCGTTCTTCTTTTTTATCATTCCGTTCTCGTTCCGTTCCGTTCTGAGTAGAAGTACGGTCTTCCCGTTCCGTTCCATTCTTGGCGTTCTTAGTTGAAGAACGGTTGCATCTCTCTTGTTCTGTTCTTAATCAAGAACGTTTCCATCCCCCGTTCCGTTCTTAGTAACGAATAATTCCATCAAGAAAAAAGTTTTATAGAAAAGAGTTGGTTAAAAAGTAAAAAATTACGATTTTTAATAAAAAGTTTCTCAGGGCTGTAAATAATACTTTAAATTATATTTTTTAAAAACGTTTATTGATTAAATTTAGGGTTGACATTTTTTGGTATTTGTTTATTTCACCATGTTACACAACCGGAGACACATTAAATCTTTTAATACAGTTTTCATATTTTTAGAAAAAATACAGTGTGTCCCAAAAAAAACTTTTCAGTAGGGGTATTGGGTGGTGAGGGAACAATTTTTGTTTAATTTTCACAATAATAGCGTGATTAGAAAGCTCTTTCTTTTAGTTATTTCAAGATTTACATTTTTCTTTCTAGGTCTCATAATTTTTTGTTAAAACCACTGCTTAAGAGCCAAAACTCTAAAAATTGAAAAGTGTTTGTCCTGCAGATTGGATTGAATATTTTTGATAAAAAAGCGAGGAATGTATACCAATTCATTTCCAAAAAAGAAATATTTTTTAGATAATGTTTGCGGACTGGGCAAAATTCTTACGGACAAAAGAAAAACCGTAGCTTTCTAATATTTATTTTTTTAAAGCTAATTTTATTTTTAAATTGCTTCAGCTCAGAAATTATTGATGATCAAAAATTTTGGCTAAAAAAGGAAACCTTAGACCAACAACTTTCTTTTTAAGAAAATAAAATAGAACAAAAAAAAAATTTTAAAAATCCGAGAAATCGATTTTCGACTAATCAAAAAAGTGATTGTAACCTAAAAAGTATGAGGTCTAGGAAGAAAAAATTTACATGTTTAAATTTTAGTTGAGATAGACAGAACATTTTTATATCCGCTGTTAATCAGCTGTTTATCAGCTGTTGATAATAGCATTTAATGGCTGTACCCAGCTGGAGTAGAAGTCTCCCATTTTGTTGTCAACTTCATTGTTTCGCTCCTGAATAGATATTTTCTACTTTTAATTTTGTGCTTTCATTTTAATATGCTATATTGCTCATGAGAATTATACAAATTCTCGAAAAAATTACCAGAAATTGTCTGCATTTTGCAGCCTCTCTCACCATCTTTACAATATCTTTATATTTCAAGAAATATTCAACCTTTCCTGAAAAAGTAAATATTAAAGGGTGTGAATCATTTCTAAAAATTATTGTTTTTGTTTCGTTTTTCGAAGAAAACGATTAGAGTCGTGTCAGGTTTACACCGGTTATATATATTTAATACTATTATGGCGCCATTTTTATCAAGTTCATTTTCAGAAACATAGGATAAAAAGTGGCCATTAATTCAGATTCCCCCCCCCCTATATTTCTAAATATTTGTTTGTTTATTATTTCTAAATGTTTGTTTGTATATTATTGCTTTATGTTTGTTTGTTTAATATTGCTAAGACGTAGCTTATTTAGCATTTTTTAATGATTCTTGTTTATTATTTTTAAATGTTTTTTTTTGTATAGTATTTCTAAATATTTGTTTGTTTATTATTTCTAAATGTTTGTTTGTTTATTATTTCTAAATGTTTGTTTGTATATTATTGCGTTATGTTTGTTTGTTTAATATTGCTAAATCGTGGCTTATTTAGCATTTTTTAAAGATTCTTGTTTATTATTTCTAAATGTTTGTATGTTGTATTTATAAATGTTTGCTTGTTTATTATTTATAAATGTTTGCTTGTTTATTATTTATAAATGTTTACTTGTTTATTATCTATAAATGTTTGTATGTTTAGTATTTATAAATGTTTGTATGTTTTATTTATAAATGTTTGCTTGTTTATTATTTATAAATGTTTGTAACTTTATTATTTATAAATGTTTGCTGGTTTATTGTTTATAAATGTTTGCTTGTTTATTATTTATAAATGTTTGCTTGTTTATTATTTATAAATGTTTGCTTGTTTACCTATATAATTATTACAGAGTTGAATCTTCCTCTCCAACTGTTCCTTGCTCATTTTATCCAGAGTATATCCATCCCTGCCAACAAATACAATTATTTTTATCTTTATCCAGAGTATATTCATCCCTGCCAACAAATACAATTATTTTTATTTTTATCCAGAGTATATCCATCCCTGCCAACAAATACAATTATTTTTATCTTTTTAAATTTAATAATTTATTTTGGTTAAGGGGTGTGGGCACAAGCTCACGCTGACACGCATACATATAAAACGATATATCAATAAATCTTTTTCCAGTTTATTATCAAGGTCTTTCTATTATTTTGTTTTCTCAAGATTGATTAAAAGTCATGTACCCAACTACTTGACCATGGGTAACCCTGTAAACCATAGTGAAAGCTTATTTTATGCGGGCTGATCTTGCTTCCTGTTTTTCCTCATTCTTACTATTAGGTTTGGATAGAAAATGATTTTTAATCGCATGCAGCGTTAATTTACTAATAACTTAAGGAAAACTGGAATTTCAAACATAATTGAGTTATGTCGACCTTTTGTTCTTTTCTCTGTCAGTCAAAAAAGAAGAAACAAATTAAGAATTTTTTCTTCTGATAGATTGATTTTGATTTCTTCTGTCTACTCTCTTCCGTTTATCCTTTAAACGAATTTCGCAAAATGTTTAATCATGCGAAATTACACGAAATGAAAATTATTACGTGTAACTGGACGTAATTTCGCTTAAGTGAAAAATTTATTACGTTGGAAACCCTACCTGAAAGCCCAGTAGGAAATATAACAGATTACACATTTATCATTTAAGTTATAACAAGCAAGATTTTAAAAAGAGGAAAATATAAAAAAAAATTCATATTTTACAATTTTAAAAAAATTTACCTTGACCCATAAATTTGAAGGAGCAATCTTTTTGCCTTCATACAGATAAAGTGCGTCGGATGTAAATACTTCTCCAGGTCATCTTAAACAAATAAAAATACTTCTCCAGGTCATCTTAAACAAAATCCAGTCTAATAAAAAAGATGAGGAAGATATCCTATTTATTCTATCTAAAATTTGAACACTTCCTATTCTCTATAATGAATTACTTGCATGCGTCAGAAAGAATTCAACACGTTTAGAAAAAAAGATCGATATTTTACCCATTGCTGAATAAGTAAATTTAAAGGGTATCCTTGTGAATCAGGCAAACAATTCACAAACTGTGAGTTTACTTTAAACTTAAATTGAATATTTTTGAAAAATATGAAGTTAATAAAAAATTGTTCCAATCAAAGGACTTGCACTTTAGTTCAGCCTGCCTTATTCTGTTGCATACTATACACATTGAGTCAAAACCACTTACCGGGTATACGGGCCGGTACGGAAAAGACTAGACCGGTTATTCTCGTATTTAGTTTGATCATACAACTTTTAAAATTATGTGAAATCTGTCGCCTTCGGTCCTTTATAGGATTAATAATGAGGTAGATAACGTAGTTTAATAGAAAGAATCGAAATAGAAAATAAACAATTTTCAGATAATAAAGAAATATTAACTTCACCATTTACGGTTACGATCAGCTATATATTTCTTTTATTTTGGTCAGAATTGGTTAATTTATCAGCAAAGAGAAAATTTTAAAGAAAATTCAACATTCGTATAATCACATACGAAGAGTTTTAGGTCGGTACTACAGACTCATTCTTTGTGGTAAATTCTGTACTAGAAATATCAAATATTTTAACAAAGGCTGAGATTTAGAAGCATAGTCTCAGGCAGCTCAAATATGAGACACGGTTCAAACATGCAGTTGGTTCCGCTCGTTCAAGATTTGAGCCGCTCAATTGGAACCGGTTTTTTAGCGATTTTAGAGATATCTGGGTTTAGAATTAGACTCAATTCTAAGAGTTTAGTTAAATTTAAGTCTCCATAGCATTGTGAGAACCAGAAAACCAGAAAGATGTCTTTCAGACAAATTATGATTTTAAAGCGTCCATAGAACATGAGACACACCAATTGTGCAGTGTATACAGACCCATTTCAAAAAATAAGGGATTAAAAAAACATCAGTATAAATACTATTTGATTTTAAGCAACATTAAATTAAATACTCAAGAGTAGTGCTATAATGTCGTCTTCCTATTACACAGTTTTCACTGTAGCTAAATCTTGTAACTAATATTTCCCTAAATTAAAATAGTCTCAAATTATAAAAGATACCGATGAATATTTCCCAAGATGGTGGTGGATCCGAATACAGTTTTCCATACAACAGAGACTCAAACCTTAACAAAAAGAAAGAGTAAATTCCGATAGCTTAATCTGAATATCAAATATGGACATCTTTAATTTCCTTCTTCATCCACTCTTTCCTTTTCTCTCCCTGTCAGTTTCCTCATTAAGTAGCGCGCAAAATTTCAAATTTTCCGGCTTCTCTGATAGGCTGTTCTGGTATTCAAAACCCCACTCGATTGGTTGAGATATGTACACTTTTGTTGATACAATTACAAACTCATGATTAAATTAATTTTGAAATAGATCAACCATTGATCTTGATCTGAGTCGATATTCACAATTCTTAAGTTTTCAGCTCTGAGGTCGGACCTTAGAATGAATAGTATCGTTCATCTTAAACGCTTGATCTCGATATCCAATACGGGCACTTTTAAATTTGAGGACAATATTGATCACAAGATTCACAGAACAAAAGTACTAACTACCGAACCATTTTGGAAAAGTCAGTAGAAACGATTACAAATTATCAAATCCTTAGATGCCATTTCTCAAATAAAAGAAAAAAAATGAACCATTTAATATCTATATATATACTTTTCTTGTCTGTGTGGGACGTCACATGTTCGCCAAGAAAGGATTATAGATGCTCAGAATTACAAAACCTTTTTCCACTTTTTACGAGAACATTGAATGTCTTGCCTTGTATTAATAGAAATCCTGAAAGTCGTATTAAATTTTTTTAGTGTCATTGGAACATTAATGTACATTGAAGTTTTGACTTTTAAATTTGGATTTTAACAATTTCAAATGGGCTAGTTCCCCCCTCTTTAACCAATCCACACTTCAACTCATTAAAAAAAACGATTTCAAATTAGTTAAACCTAGTTGAATAAGTTTCATTAGAAGTTCCGATCTTCTTTGTTTGTATATGCCAGATCATTAATCGTGAACCCCTTGTCAGATCATTAATCGTGAACCCCTTGCCAGATCATTAATCGTGAACCCCTTGCCAGATCATTAATCGTGAACCCCTTGTCAGATCATTAATCGTGAACCCCCCCTTGTCAGATCATTAATCGTGAACCCCTTGTCAGCTCATTAATCGTGAACCCCTTGCCAGATCATTAATCGTGAACCCCTTGCCAGATCTGCCACTAATTTTCATTGGGGAACTTGAAAAACCACAGGAATGTTTTCAGCTTGGTTAAAAAATTTTAGTTGAGAGGATTGACACTTATAGAGTAAACTTAGGTAATCTGGGTTCCCAATTTAGTTTAATAAAAAGTATAGTGCAGGGTGCAATATATGCACATTGCACATACCTCAGTGTTATTTCCAATGCTTGAGAATGTGTGACAATATCTCCACAACTTCTGCACTCCCATTCACTCTCAAGGTCACTTGTTCTAAAAACAAAATATAGAAATTTGGTTTTGGATAAAGATCGGGCATGGGTCGAAACATTTCCGAAACCTGATTGGTCGTGGGTATTAGTCCAATGTCTAAAATGCGGACAATTTATTTTACCATATGTAGATGATCAACTACCATTAACGATTAACCATCGTTAACGACGTATCGTAAATATCGTAAATATTCAAAGACGGAACCGAAAAGTTTTGAAACGGAACAATCGTGAGACGAACGATTGTTGATGAAGGATCTCGTTGTCAAACGTGCAGGAAGAAACCAATCAAGTCCAGCCCTATCTATGGAATATATGTAAAAAAGTCACCGGAAAAAAGTTTCTGGAAATAAAAACTTTGATAAAATATTTCTATTTTTCTGAAGTCCTATGACAAAATGTCACTGGAAATAAAGTCTTTTTTTTTCTCAAAATTTAGGACTTTATTTCCGAAAACTTTTTTCAGAGAACTTTTTGGCGGTTATCCTATCTATAGGAGGAAGGAATATAAAAGGGACTAACACAAAATAATGTACTGCAGTTTCTGGGAGGAATGCAAATCTTAACATGTACATTGGACAGCATGTATGTTTGTTTATAATATTACTCATAGTAAACTACAGTACACTTTATTTCATGGGACTCCCTTGTATCAAATAAATAGAAATGTTTAATAAAAAGAAATGGTTCTTTTTGAGTTATTAAGATTTAGAATTTTTGTTAAGGTGTTTCCCCATTAATCATTTATTTTTATACTGTGGAATAGGAAGACGACATTTAGGCAACAAGTGAATTGTATGGTGTTACAAAGTAAATAGTTTTACTTGTAACTCTTCTAATAACATTTAAACTAAAATTGATCTGTTTACACTGCACAACTGCCGTGTCTCATGTTCAATGGACTATTAAAAGTCATAACTTGAGTCTACAAGACGTCTTCCTATTCTAGAGATTCTGTAGATATTATGCGTTGGTCTGTAGTTAGTTGTTTACCTTGGATAAAGTGTCGGTTCTCTACACTTGAAACATTTGAGGGTGCTAGAGTGGGTTCCAAGTTCAGTAGGATCCTTAAAATACAAGAATTCAAATATTCAACATTCAAAACATATATCTTATAATTAGCGTAAAATAACATGTTTTGAAAAAAATAAAGAACAATTCCCAGCTCCAAGCTTAATAATGTGACCTTACCTGACATCTAACACAAGAACAGTCAAACAGCCAATTTTTCTTAAAATCCGGTCTCCGCAAAATATTTCCGTCATTAGGACCTCTAATACACCATTAAAATTAATCTAATGCAAAACTTTCAAAAATGTTCACTTTATCAACTTTAATTAATTGCTCAAGGTTTATTAATGTCTAAAATGTCATTATTTGCCATAGCAGTAACGCGAAAATTTTTTTTTGTCTTCTATTAATGATTTTAAAAAGTTGTAAGGATATCATTATAGATATTTGGCTTGCTGTTTGTTTGTCTGTATCCAAAACCATGAAAACGGCTGAACCGATCGGACCAAATTTGTAAGACAACTCATCAAGGGAAAATTTCTGACCGGTCAGAAATGTTGCTTAATTAATTTTTCTGTTAGAAATCCATCAATGTTAACGGCGTCATTTCTACNAATTTTTCTGTTAGAAATCCATCAATGTTAACGGCGACATTTCTACATTTTCCTATGTTTCAAGAAAAATTGCGGCTTGAAAAGCAACATTTATTAGCTAATCTTTTTACAATTTCAATACATAATTGGCTTGCTTGGTAACCCAGCATTGCACATGTTATTCATAGTTACTCACGCCATTTAATTACCCGCACTTGATCGATTTTACCGGGAAACTTAATTTTCGCTTTGAAAGTCGATTCACTTAACTTGGAATCCCATGAAACCAAACTAAGAACATTCCCGTGGTTCTCCCAAGTTCCCCAATCAAAATGAAGGGGTTTCTAAGCTATGATTGGACAAACAAACAGAAAAACAGTGATTACAACTTTATATATACATATGTATCTGTTACCGTTTTAATTTCATATCCAACTTATACATACAGAAACACTGAAAAATGGAAAACAGTGTTTGACAACAAGATTTTATTTTTCATAACATTTAAAAAGATACTGTACAGTTGGTTGGGTTCATCTATTTTGATATTAAATGTAAATCTATTCAGCTACATTCACTGTAAAAAAATAAGTATAAGTACTGATAAAAATTATTTCAGTTTTATGTACACAAATTTCAACACATTTTGGACATGTCTTAAATCCAATTTTACTGTATTAATGCAATAATGATTTGAAAACAAAGCTGTGATTAGGATTTTAAATAAATACCTTCTGTAGGTTTTCATTTTTAATATTTTAAAATTTTCTAATATTTATGTTTAATGTTAATGTGCCTGTATTGAGTTGTTATTTCGTCTCCAGCTTGTATAGGTATACAGGCTCTAACAGTTATTAAACCATCCTCTATGGTGTACCTAATACATTTAAAGGGACTGTTAATTTCAATTAAGTCTTCATTTTAGAGTAGCATGCCCAATTTACAGAACAGTAACGTATAAACCTTCATCATATATTTACAATAATGAAAAAATTATCGTTTTTTGATTTGAAAAGTTACTAATTCAATCAGTAAGTCACTTTTAATATTAAGAACAGTAATTTAGTATTTACCATTTTTCAGAGAGAAAAACAAAGTTTCCTGGTGGCTCTATACCTGGTGTTTCCTGGTAGCTCTATACCTTGTGTTTCCTGGTAGCTCTATACCTGGTGTTTCCTGGTATCTCTATACCTGGTGTTTCCTGGTATCTCTATACCTGGTGTTATTTACACAGGAATGGCAAAGAACAGAGAATACTGGACAGAGAGCATGCCCCACTGGACGGGTTTCAAGTCCAACCTTATCCTCCCATTTTACAGAGTTGGTTCTGGTAGAACAAGAATCAACTTGGATCAGATTCTAATTGGGAGTAGGATCAAACAGAGACGATTTTCATCTCCCATATACAAAAAATGCTCCTTTTAATGAATTTTTTGGTTTGATAATTCCTAAACGACCTTTCAATTTAATACTTATTACATACCTATATGGGATTAGAAGGGCTTAAATAGAAATTAGTAATTTATATATTTGTATTTTTTATCATGATTATCTTTCCTGAATATACCAATTATTCTCTCTAAATCGTTCAGGGAATAATCTGAAAAAGATTTATTTAATATCATTCCAGGCAACATTTGTTCATATAACGTGCTGGGTCGACTTTAAACTGGGTGATCAGACTGGACAGTACGACAGAATGCACATACAGCACATGTTGTACCGGCACGAATCATGCAACTTTTATATTGGGGTAATAAGTTTTCTTTAAGCAAATGATTGAATGTGTGTTAAAACATTTTGCAAAAAATTCAAGTATTATTTTGTAAATCTGCATTTTTTTGTTATGTTGGGGTCCCTGATTTTAAAGAACATTAAAGATAAACAAAACATCAGCTGAACATTATAAGCAATGGTGAAACAATTATAACACGAGCCCTTGAAAACTTACACACTGTGCTCTGTATACTGTTCATTGTACACTGTATACTGTATACTGTACACTGTACACTGTACACTGTACACTGTATACTGTAAACTGTAAACTGTAAACATATGTATACTGTATTACTGTACACTGTCCACTGTACTGTACACTGTCCACTGTATGCAGTACACTGTACACTAAGAGTTTACCTTGCTCACAATACTTTTCCATAAAAGGGAACACAGTCTCTGAAAGAAATAGTAATTTCATTAAACCCATCCAGTTGTATAACTAGGGTTTGAGCGGAATTGCGTGCAAGTGAAATCCAATTTCATTGGAAATCCTACGCACAAAACCCTAGTTATTCCGTGAAGTACTTGAGGTACAACCTTGTCGCGCTAAAATACGGAAAGTAGAATTTAAAAAAATATTTTTAACAAGTCACAACCAAGAGAAATGTGACTGATGGACACCTATCATGCAGAACAAAAAAAGTATTTACTATTATTATGATAAATAAAAAAAGAAATAAATATCTGTATTATAAACTATTTTAATGAGGATAAAAGGGATGAGTGTTAAAATTTTACTAAATAAATAAAGGATTTTTTTCTTTGCCAGAAAGTCTGGTTTTCTAATTCCCATATCTTTGCAACCTAATGATAGAGAGCTAATTTTGAAATATCAAAGGTTTACTATACCAGGTTGCAAAGATATAGGGATTAGAAGACTGAGTTTGTGGCAAATCTTAATTCCTTTGCTACCTTGAAGGAATGTCCAAGGTTCACCTCTTCTTCTCTCCTGATTTAAACAAGTTATACAAATACCTTTATATATATATATCTATGAAATAAAACAAGACATTCGTATATATGTGTTGCGTATAGGTGGCCAAACGGCTGGACCGATTGGGCTGATATTTTTTGTGGACACTCATGGGTGGCCGGGGGGTGTTTTTTTTTAACGTTTTTTTTTCCTCCTTCTTTAGCCAGTATGTAATAATTTTAAATAAAAAAGTTTACATCACAAGTTAGATAAAGATGGGATAATATTTGAGCCAGACATGCTTTGCTCCTTATACTTTGCTATAATTGCGTTACGCGCCGCCCCCCCCCCCCCAGACTTGTATAGCTCTTTAAAGTTATTTTTATACTTGCGTTGTTTGAAATAAATGATAAAACTTACTTGAAGATGATCTTCAAGACGGTTTACTAAACTCCAGATGTAACCATTCTCCTTCTGTATCTCTAACATCCTATCAAAGGGACAGTTACCCTCCATGCTAATTAGATAATAATGATTTTAAAAAACCGGACTTTTTTCAATTATGGGTTCTCTACTAAAGTGACTTGCGTATTTCTACTGCAGAAAAACATATAATAATTATCAGAATTAAAAACATTTAAACCTAGAAAAACAACCATTTATCTTCCTCATTATAAAAGGTTTGACACTTAAATGANTAACATGTTTTAGAGACAAACTAATTCTGTTCATGGATTGCCATTTTAAATTACTCTCAGTTTAGAAAGAGCAAACAACAGTTTTCAAAATATCAAAAAGTAGCTTTCAGTTGTAAAGGTTAGGTTGCGTTTAGATTTTAAAATATTAATGCAATGGAAGCTTATTTAAACAATGCAACTTTTAAAAAAGAATGATATCACGTATGTCGCAAAATTATAAAAAAGAATGATATCACGTGTGTCACAAAATTATAAAAAAAAGAATGATATCACATGTGTCGCAAAATTATAAAAAAGAATGAAATCACGTGTGTCGCATAATTATAAAAAAGAATGATATCACGTGTGTCGCAAAATTATAAAAAAGAATGATATTACATGTGTCGCAAAATTATAAAAAAGAATGATATCACGTGTGTGCAAAATTATAAAAAAGAATGATATCACGTGTGTCGCAAAATTATAAAAAAAAGAATGATATCACGTGTGTCGCAAAATTATAAAAAAAGAATGATATCACGTGTGTCGCAAAATTATATAAAAAAAGAATGATATCACGTGTGTCGCGGAATTATATAAACCAACCACACAGCTTTCTATTTATAACCGTCTATTTGGTGATGATCCCTCTCAAAGCCTATCTTTACATTTAGATTAATAACAATAACACATATCGTACGTTTTCCTTATTTCATTAAAATCTCTAATTTTGACCGGCTAAAAAAACCTTCTCTGGGGTCATATATAATATATATACTCAATACTCATGTTACCATAAAAAGAAATTGTTTTTTTTGCCAAAATCTCAAACTTACTAATCATTGCAACCTGATGGTGTAAACCTTTGATATTTTCAAGCTTACATTATTTAATCTAACAGACTTCGATCATAGTTTGAAATATCTAAGATCTACAGCATTGGGTTGCAAAGTTCTGGGGATTAAAAAATCCTAGTTTGTTGCAAAGACTCAATTCTTCTAGGTCTGGGTCAGCCATTTTGAAGTTTATTTGAAACAACCCAAATATTTATATATAGAGCTGGCAACCAACTAAGGATGAAACTTCAGAGACGACTGTACGGAAAATGCACTGTCTGTTTCCTTATAATTATGATTCCATGCAACTCTGTCTTTGTTCAATCATTTAAAATTCTTTGAAAATACTGTATTTGAGAAGACTTTATTCAACCTGGGAATCGTCATATTTCAAGATTTTTATGTCGTCTTTAGAGTCTTATCTTCTGTAGATAAACCCTGTAGATGAAAACTCTGGCCTCACAATCAATATATTTTGAACATAAAATAAACGAGATTTAGAATGAGTTTTCTATCTTTTTCTAAGTAAAAGGTTAGAGTAGCAAACCACAAGGGATTACTGGGAGCAAAAGAAGAAAGAAATAATCATTTATATTGTAAAAATCACTTTCCAAATTGAACTTACTTTGTTCAAATTCTTTCTTTTATGGGAAAATATATCTTTTTCCTTCTCGTAATTGGAAAAAGATTTTATCTTATTGCTTTCAAAACAAAACATTGAAATACAATATAAGGAATTATATATTCTTCTAATCACACGTGTTTACCTGCAAGCAAATTTAAAGAAATGTTTTAAACATTATTTCAATTGATCTTTCATATATGTGCTATTCTAGATAAACCGGAATAATTTGTTAATTGATTGATGACTTGAAAGTCGTCTTTGATCTCAAAAATAATTTTAGGTGCTCATTTGTCAACCTGATAAAGCAACATTACTTAATGAAACTATTAATCACAAAATAGCCCTAGTCCTGTTATTTCCAAATGTGGTTTGTCAGTTCTTACATTTAAAATGACCAGAGAATTGGTTTAATTCATGAAAGCACAAAACGACAGACCACATTTTAGAAATGCCAGGACTATTGCTATTTTGAGATAAATATTGCTAAAATAAGATAATGTTTATTATTACCTAATTGGTGCTATAGATGAGTAAATAGTACTTCTCTCACATTCTAAAATGAGTAAGACGCTAATTAATGTTTTAACTCAATATTTCCGAAAAGAAAACTACTTCTTCATTTCACTTTTGTTATCGATTCAAGTTATGCTTATCTATATAACAAACCAAGACATTCCCTTCAGCTAATCTATCTATATAATAAAACAAGACATTCATATATATGTTTCCTATTGCCGGCAAAACGGATTGACCGAATGAACTGACATTTTTTGTGGACACTCATGGGTAGCATGGGGGTGTTATAGACCAAACAAAATTAATTTTTTATAGATTAAAAAATCAACGGGCAACGCCGGCCTTTCAGCTAGTTGCTTAATAAATCAACATTTGATGATAAAATCGATAAATGTGGCACTTTTGGGACTTTTTAATTGTGCAAAATTTCAGCTTAATCCTACTTCTTCTGGCCTCCCTGTTGCCCAAAATGGGGTGGACCAATGTTTAGTGCAATAAAACGACGATGCAATAAAAAGCTTTAAAAAACTTTTTCACAGACACCTTGTATATTTTGGGTGTGCTCCATCTATCCACCCCGAATGTGCATTGATAGGCTAACATTTTTGTCCTTCAAAAAAGCTTTCACATGTTTGGCAATCACGGGAAAGTTTACCTGTAAAGTTTGGTTTGGTATTCTTAAAGTATTTGCACTCTATTGAATGCCGAGGCTTGTTTTCACAATCTAAAAAAAAGAATTCACGTTAAACATTACGTTAAATTTCATGTCAGATTCAAATCTCAAATGGTTTCAATCTTAAATCTTCTTATTAAAAAACTATTGAGAAAAAAAAACTTAAATTTTCAATATGTAACCAGAGCTGAAAACTTTAGAATTGTGGATATCGAGATCAATGCTTGATCTTCTCTGTTTGTTAATCTGTAGATTAATATAATCTTCAAATCATGATATTCAGGAAAGTGACTAAAATGTTTCCAATCAAAGTGTCGTTTGCATACCATTCAGTCCGTTAGAAATCTTGTTCACAATGAAAGAGAAAAGTCTCATTAGTCCAATTCTAAAGTTTCAGCTCAGCTAAAGGAAATGAGTTTTTGACACAAAATAAAAATGTCAAATCCTCAAATCTTTCAAATCTGATGGTTTAAATGTTGAATATTTCAAACTTAGAATATTTGATCTAACAGAATTCATAGTTTAAAATATCAAAGGTTTACGACATTGGGTAAAAAGATATGGGATTAAAAATCAGAGATTGCGACAAAAACTCAATTACTTTGCTCCTCTCATACTTGAGCATGAAATCAACAACAGAAGAGCTATGAGGTCAGAAAGCCGTACTTGTAATGTCACATGAATTTGTCTGTCTAGTTTGCACTGAGCATAGATCATATCAAATAATTTTGGTAATCTTCAAGTTTGGTGAAGTCTGTTTTTGAAAAACAACTTTATAACATGTTTTAGAGACAAACTAATTCTTTTCACAAGCAAAGGAATTGAATCTTTATCACAAAATCAAATTTTCTAATTCCAATTTCTTTTCAAGCTGATGGTGTAAACCTTTGATATTTCTTCCTTATATTATCTAATCTAACATAATTCATAGTTTGAAAAATGTAAGGTCTACGACATTGAATTGCAAAGATATAGTGATTAGAAGATCGAAGTTTGTGGCAAAGACTCAATTCCTTTCTTTAGAGACAGTGTAGCTTAAGCAATTTTCATTAAATATAATAGTGTCTTATATATGTGAATGCGTCAACTGTGCAGAAAATAATCAAGCAAATTATTTGTCTAAAATTTATTTCTCTAAAATTCATTTCTCTAATTTCTTTACAAACCTTTGTCAGGCAGCATATTTAAATTTATTTCTTTGCAACCTGAAGTTGAAAACCGTTGAAATTTCAAACTTAGATTATTTGATCTAACAGAATTCAAAATTTAAAATATCTAAGGTCTACGACATTGGGTTGCAAAGATATAGGGATTAGAAAATCAGAGTTTGTGGCAAAGACTCAATTTCTTTTTATACAAACCTTTGCTGCAAAGGGGAAGAGAACAGATTGAGCAAGGATATAATTCCTCCATAGGTTTGTAGCACTCTAGACAAACTAGTTCACTGTTATCAAACGGTCCAATTACAGCAGGACGGTCCTTAATATCATTCTGCTAGATAATACATCCTAGTGCTTAGTATTAATTACATCAGGACGGTCCTGAATATCATTCTGTAAGATAATACATCCTAGCATTAGTATTTATTACAGCAGGACGGTCCTGAATATCATTCTGTTAGTTAATATATCCTAGTCCTTAGTATTAATTACAGCAGGACGGTCCTTAATATCATTCTGTTAGTTAATATATCCTAGTCCTTAGTATTAATCACAGCAGGACGGTCCTGAATATCATTCTGTTAGTTAATATATCCTAGTCCTTAGTATTTATTACAGCAGGACGGTCCTTAATATCATTCTGTTAGATAATATATCTTAGTCCTTAGTATTTATTACAGCAGGACAGTCCTTAATATCATATCTGTTAGATAATATATCTTAGTCCTTAGTATTTATTACAGCAGGACGGTCCTTAATATCATTCTGTTAGATAATATATCTTAGTCCTTAGTATTTATTACAGCAGGACGGTCCTTAATATCATTCTGTTAGATAATATATCCTAGTCCTTAGTATCTGAAATATAATTTCAAATAAACAAGAGTTTAAAAATATACATTAAAAAGTCTGTAAACAAATTAAAAGCCATTTTATTAGTTTAGTTTACAAATTTCACACAGGATTAAAGGCCAGATGTGACCTAAGGGGGGGGGCTGGCTCTGTAACAAATTTCAACTGCAGTTTATTGAGAAAAACTATATTATTCATGAGACAAGTTTACGATGTGCAATTTATAAATAAGAGCGTTAAGTTGTTTTAAATACTTCACTAGTTGTTTCAGTCAACAGAAGAAACTTTTTTTTAAAAATTTTTTTTACAAGATGGACGAAACATGTAAAAAATAATATTTTACAAAATAATATCATATTTAGGATCAGGTTGAGAATAATATTGAACATATATCTTTGAAAATTAGTTAATTAAAATTTATATTAAAATCTCGCAGGTTTATGCTTATTCATTCAGCTAGGGTCGCTGGTCGGAGGTTTTTTATATTAATTTTGAAGACGAAAATTTGAAGAAATCTGCGAATAAAATTACAGAGACAGTAACGGTAATGATGATAATAAATAATACGGTTCTACTATGGCTTTCATCGATAATTCCTTTTAAGAATTATGTTCCTAAATAGCAAATTAATCTATAAAATTTTGTTTTACATGTTTTGTCCGGGCTATGAAATAATTGTAAAAAATGTTTCTCCTGCTGACTGAAACAACTGGCGAAATATTGCAAATGACTTTACGCTCTTAATTAAAAATTAGACACTGTAAAAATGTCTCATTGGTATTAAATGAATCATAAAGTTTTCTCCATTCATTCGCAACTTTCTGATTCGTGACAAGCTTCATTTTTGTTACATGTACTAGATTTTATTTTTTAAGAATTAGCTATAAGTTTCCCGTCATCTGAAAGGGAGAGACTTGCTAAGTAACACATTTGAACTGAAAATACAGTATTATGTATACAATCGTCTCTGAGGTCTCATTGTGGGTAACCCTAGCTGAAAACCAATTGAATAAGATATCCTTAATCCCGACTACTTAATCTGAGTATCCAATGGACACACTTTTGATTTTCTTCTTAAACCGTTCATTCTTGGATATAGTAGAGAAAAATCAAAAACCAGTTTTTCTTAATTAGAGAGTTCCTCCCATTTCTGCATATAATAATTATAATAATTTCAAATTTATCAGCTTCATATACGCGACTCTGATTGGTTGAATTTTATACACTTTTCAGGATACAAATACACGATTAGGTTAGTCTCGATATTAAGAAAAAGAGAGGATCACGCATTAATCTCGATATCCACCATTCTAAAGTTTTCAGCTCCTAGGTGATGTAACAGTATAGTTCATTAATTCTTACGAAATGTGAAACATTATCAAAAACAAAATCTTTTCTCTTTACCCAGTATAATATTCAATATGTCTGCAGTTCTTTTAAAAAACATTTAAAACTGCTATTCTTATTGATGACTAGCTTAGTTACTTCCGCCGTTTACCCGCGCTTGGTCGTAAAATACGATTTTAGCTATTTTTCCCGATAAAAGGTGACCCACTCAACTTAGAATCTCAAAACCAAGCTATGAACATTCCCGTTGGTCTCCCGAGTTTAAGGCAAATCAGTTAAGGGATATATATATTTATCGATTAGCCTGTTTTCTTTTAAAATAGGCGTGCATACTCATTATCACACTTGGTCGTCATAAGATTCTCATGTTTAGTTGAACACAATTTAGGTATTTTAAAACTCAATGCAAAATGTTTGCTCGGATAGAAGAATTTTATCGAAACAAACTTTTAAAGAACAAGTTTAAATTTTAGTAGAGTTTAACCCAAAACGTCGGAGCCACTGAAAGAATTTATAAGATGTCGTCTTCTAAACTACCGATAATTAATGGAATTCTGCAAATATTTAGTTTTTTAATTGAATGATTATATCCCAGGTAACAATTTTGCGGAAAATCCGCGAAAATTCCTAAGAATCTTTCCTGGGAATCCGCAAAATTCCCAGAAATCTTTCAAAGGAAATTTCCAAGAATCTATAACAGGAAAATCCGAGGGATTTCTCGTAACCCATTCCAAAGGAATTTCTCGTAACCCATTCTGGGAAATATCTTGTAACCAATTCCGAGGAATTTCTTGTAACCCTTTCCGAGGAATTTTTCATAACCATATTCAGGAATTTCTTGTAAGCAAGGAATTTCTTGTAACCAAGGAATTTCTTGTAATCAAGGAATTTCTTGTTACCAATTCAGGAGAATGACCAGTGAAAAGGTCGGCCAAATTTGTGGAAATTCTTGGGAGTTTCCAGAGAAAAGTTCTTCAGAACCAAGTTTCTTGGATAAATATTCCAGAAAAATTCTCAGAAACTTCTTGGCAAAAATTCGGGGAAAAAATCTCAGGATCTTTTTCGAAACTAATTCTCAAAACACTGATCCCTTAAAAATCTCTCAAATTGGGAACCAATTCCGAAAAATTTCTCAAAAATTTCCGAGGAATCAGTCTCAAAAACTTGTTTTCGAGAAATTTCCCGGAAATTCCTCAAACCAATAATGGAGAACTTGGGGAAATTCCTCACTTTTGTTACCTGGAATATGGAAATTTCTAAAACTGTTCCCGTATGTTTCATAACTATTTATTTATTGTTAAATTACTGAGATTCAGGTTCAGTGGTAAAAAACCAATTGAAAATTTGTCAAGACGACATTTTATAAATTTTTTCGAGGTCTGGGTTAAACTGTAGATCTCGTACAGATACATATTTGAATGTAGTAATGTTATCACTTAACTCTCACATTTGTATATGGGACACTGTTATAAGATTGTTTAGCTTTGTGTACATCACATTTGCAACTGCGTGGGTGTATGTGAGGTATATATATAGATGTGTAAACACATGTTCTGTATTCTAACCTGACAATTATACTTTAAGCTTTCTCAAGCATTTTGTATCTTTCTTAGCAAGTAATGTTATATAATTAGGGAAACAGGTAAATCACCACCCCCCTTTCTCCCACCAGATATTTTTTTCTATTTGAAATTAAAATTATTCGACATATTTTTCTTAAAATCAAATAGAATGTAATAACTAATAATAATGTAACNGTAGTTTATGAGATTGTGTCCCTGTTGACATTGATAGTTTATGAGATCATGTCCGTGTTGATATTGATAGTTTATGAGATCATGTCCGTGTTGACATTGATATATATGAGATTGTGTCTGTGTTGATATTGATAGTTTATGAGATCATGTCCGTGTTGACATTGATAGTTTATGAGATTGTGTCTGTGTTGACATTGATAGTTTATGAGATCATGTCCGTGTTGATATTGATAGTTTATGAGATCATGTCCGTGTTGACATTGATAGTTTATGAGATCGTGTCCGTGTTGACATTGAAAGTTTATGAAATCGTGTCCCTGTTGACATTGATAGTTTATGAGATCGTATCCGTGTTGACATTGAAAGTTTATGAGATTGTGTCCCTGTTGACATTGATAGTTTATGAGATCATGTCCGTGTTGACATTGATAGTTTATGAGATCATGTCCGTGTTGATATTGATAGTTTATGAGATCATGTCTGTGTTGATATTGATAGTTTATGAGATTGTGTCCGTGTTACATTGATAGTTAATGAGATTGTGTCCATGTTGATATTGAAAGTTTATGAAATCGTGTCCCTGTTGACATTGATAGTTTATGGTTCAGAGATCGTGTCTGGATTGACATTGATAGTTGTACTGTATTGTTAAACTGTTTAGTTGTAACTAGTTGTATTATGTATCTAGTTGTATCTATTTGTATCTTTATGTATCTAGATGTATTTAGTTGCAACAAGTTGTATCTAGTTGTATCTAGTTGTATCTAGTTGTATCTATAACTGAACAGATGATTAAAATTACATTTCAATTGCCGCGGAGCTTGACTGACTTTCAGTCAAATCATTCATTATCAATCCGGCAAGAAGGGAAAATTTTCAAATTTTTAAAAATACAAATACGTTAAATTAAAATAGAATAATATCAAATCTAGTTGGAAAAAAATAGCTGATTTGCAAGAATCCAGTAAAGTTGTTCAATTTTTTTTTATTGTGCCTGTTGTAAATGCCCTACTCCAAAAAGTCTTTTAGTTCGGTACCAATTCAGGAGTATCCTTCCCTCTCCTTCGGTATCTGTCACACAAAATACAACTCAATCAAGAGCTATTCCGTTCAATTATACTTTAGTCGGATTCAAACTGGCTTCAACTCTATCAGCATTCTCTTGTATCTGTTTTACAAGGTACAACTCAATCAAGAACTATTCTGTTCAATTATAATTTAGTCAATATCATGCTGGATGGTGTCCGAGTTGAGGCATTGATAGTTTATAAGATTGTGTCCGAGTTGAGGCATTTATAGTTTATGAGATCTTGTCCAGGTTGAGGCATTGATAGTTTATGAGATATTGTCCGAGTTGAGGCATTGATAGTTTATGAGA